GATCTCTCTGAAATGACAAGGCCTTGGGTGCCTGTCTGCAGAGCTCTGCAGCTGCTGACTGCAGCTTTCAGTACTGTTCAGTTGTCTGTAAGGCTGGGTAGTGAGCTTGCTCTTTCCAGCAGCTGAGCATGAAGATTTCTTGTGTCCTGCCCAGGGGTACATTCAAGCGTTGTGTTTGGGTTGGAACTGTTCAAGAAGACCAGTTCTGTTAGGCTGGAGTTTCACGCTGGGGATGTGCTGATTCTCCCTTAGCTTTGCTGCCTTTGCTGATGAGGGAGTGCATGTTTGAGGGGTAAGCACGGGCCGTGACCACAAGGCACCCATCTGCTGCAGGTGCCCATCTCGTTTCTTCTTTTCCCTTTCAGGAAAAAAGGTGGCCAGAGTAGCCAACGCGCGGCTGGACACCTTCAGCAGAGAGGTTTTCCGTCACGAGGGTCTGAGAAACCTCGTGCGCCTGGCAAGAGTGCGAAACCATTACATCTGTAAGTGCCCCATTTGCCACAGAACACAGAGCCCTGCTGTGGTTCATGCAAACAAGCAGAGACTGGCCAGCGTGTGTAACTGGGTTTCTGCTTCCCCTTCCCCTCCACATCATCAGCATTCATACATTTGTATTCCAGTGGGTAACTAGTGAGGTTGTGGTTTGGTGTTGCTTTGGGACTGAATGTGTTTGTGCCTCCTGCCGGCAAATGTAACCTCTTCTCCTCTGGCTGTGAAGATCTGGCTTGTCAGAAGTGTGGTGTAAGGGAAGGCAAGGGACAGAAATGTTGGAGCCAGGTGGAGGCTGGAGCTGCCTCGTGGCTGTGCTGACTTGTGTCTCTGTGCAGTTTCAGTGGAATCGACGGGTATCTTGCCTCCAGATGTGCTGGTGAGTGAAGCCATCAAGATCCTGATGGGAAAGTGTCAGCGCTTCCTGAATGAGCTGGACTCTGTGCCTATGGAGTGATCAGGCTGTATCTGGGAAGCATGTCCCTGTGCTGCTGTTCTGGGCTTCCTGCACCTGCCTGCTGGGATGATTCTTCTTCCGTAGGCAAGAGGTTTGAGGTGGGCTTGTTAAGAGTCCTAGGACCATCTCTTTGAATTTGTTTTCTGTTGGTGATAAGCCTCAGTGAGGAGATGCACTAAAATAAAGGCTTTTCTTTACAGCCATCTCCTTCTGCACTGTTCACAATTTTGGAACCATAACACAGAGAGGAAAGAGGTAGCAGGTCTAAAGATGAGTAATAGCATTTATTTTAGATTGCATGCACTATGTGAAGAGGACTGCTGTGGCAGTGTAGTAAAGCACTTTGCTGGGAGCTTTAACAAGTCTGCATCAGTGCAGGACTGTTTTGCAGGTGTCTCAAACCAGCTCTGGGGTAGTTAATGTGGTAGGTAAAAGGCTGTACTGTCAGAGGGCTGGGACACCTCTCCTGTGAAGAAGGACTGAGAGCTGGGGTTGTTCAGCCTGGAGAAGAGAAGGCTCCAGGGAGACCTTACTGTAGTCTTTCAATATATAAAGGGAGCATGGAGAAAAACTTTTCCAGGGCCTGTAGTGACAGAACAAGGGGCAACAGTTTTAAACTGAGGGCAGGCTTGGATTGGACATAGGCCATTTTTTACAGTGAGAGTGGTGGTGAGATGCTGGAGCAGGTTACCCAGAGAAGTTGTGGATGCCTCATCCCTGAAGTGTTGAAGGTCAGGTTGGACAGGGATTTGGGCAACCTGACTACTGAAAGGTGTCCCTGCCCACAGCAAGGAGTTGGACTGGATGGTCTTTGAAGGTCTCTTCCAGCCCAAACCATTCTATGAGATAGTACTGGGCTTCTCTGTGCAAAGAAGGGGTTTAAAAACATGCTCTGTGAGGACTGACTGTCCCTTCTTAAATATCTCAAGGTAAGGCATTTCTTCCCAGGTGTCAGATTTGACTACTCTGTTCTCCCTTTCAGTGACTGAATGTACTTTGGGCTGACCTTGAAGCAGAACTGGATGGTGGAGGGCAAGTGCTAGTCAAAGGCTTGTCTCCACCCAGAGAAGCCCGAGAGACTTGTCTGAGTGGTGAGCACTGCTGTAAGTCAGCACTGGGTAGGGCTCAGCTTGTGAAAGTCTCTCTTGACAAGCTGATGAAGGAACTGGAACTTCAGAGAATGGCTGGGAGTACTGGTGTGTCTCAGTTGTTTAAGTCGATCCTCACTGCTGCTAGAGTTCAGTGTAGCAAATGGTACTTTTTCTCTACCTGTTTCACTGGGATACAGTTACTTACACTGTAAACATCTTTTTAGGTGTTAGGGTGGACATGCTGTAGGAAAGAGTTATGCTTGGCATCCTGGCTACAGCCCCAGCCTGTCCCATGTCACTATACTGTTGCAGACCCATGCCCTGCTTCCAGATTTTATTTTCAAGACAGCTGGTAAGTGGTTGCTGGGGAAACAGGCTGCTTCCCTGTCAGGGCTGTTCTGGGAGCTGTCACTGTTTCACAGTTGTGCTTACTGGCTGGTTCACTGATCTTTCAGCAGGCTTGCAGGAACCTAGAACCCATCCCACAGGGCCTCACTCATCCACTTACCCTTAGATGAGAGCATAAGGACCCCAAGAGCTAGTCCTAAAGCCTGTAGTACCTCCTGGTCTAAAGCTCCTAATACCCTTACCCAAGATACCTCCCCAGGGCTTTTTGCTTGCTTAAAACAGCTCAGCTGTGCAGTACCTGCCTCACCTGTACAAGGGACACAGTGTAGCCCCAGTGTCACCATTAAGCACAGAAAAGTTCCTAATCAACACCATTTAGGTGTTAATCCCATTTGAAAAACAGTAATTTCTAGCTGGATCCTTTCAGTTTAAACCAGCTAAAGCAGCTTCCATGCTGAGCTGGATTACAGCTTTGTTTTGTGAAATTGACATTGACGTTGCTCAGGCCCACCTCTTGGAGGGCTTCTAGTGGTGTTGTAGAGAGACCTGTCACGCAACCTCCATCAGGTGAGGGGGACAGACCAAAGGCAACAGCTGCACTGCTTTCCTTGGTTACCAAACAGGTCAGCAGAGAGAGTTATGGCTAAACCAAACTGTGGTCCCAGCAATAGCTAGGGCTGGTCTGGGAGGCTACTGCAGTGGCATGTGCACCCTTCTGTGCTATTGCTTATGAGACATGCACTGGAACAGCCACGCCAAAGGGTTTCACTTT